AGACAAGGATCGCAACCAGAGTAGATTTACCAAAGCCATAGCTGAAACCTCCACCAAACAAGAAATTACTGAGATCATGACTAAAAAAAATTGATGCTACATATCTCTACTCAAGATTCAAAAATAGTGTGACAACTATAAGAGGAAAAATTAAGATTTAACAATACTGTGAGAATTTGTTTAAAATTATTATCGATTTCAATCGATCAATTTCATTTTCAATTTTGATTTCGCTACCATTAAATTGTTTCTTTGTACTGAAAATAGAAATTTCTTGAAAATGTTCACAAATCATCATTAGTTTTTTATTCGATTTAAAAGAATTTCAATTGTGAATTTCTGCTAGATATTTTTTCTAACAGTCAAATCCTTATATTTTCTTGAAAACAAAATTTTAGGAATGACTTATATCTTCCTATATATTGATTAGTTAAATTTATTTAAAGACATCCGACCTCATCTAGAAATAAATCGCGTGTTTAGATGAATCTTATCTAATTAGACAGATTCTAGTGAAATTAAAGAAGTTGTAAGAGGATTTTTGTTTATGAATCTTCTTGAATTATAATCATTTTAATGAATTTTTTAAGAGACTGTCATGTCTTAAAATTACCTTCAAAAACAATTTTTGAGAACAAACGTAGTAAACATAACTTGTTCATCGTGAAAGTATCAAATTTTCTAGTATCATCTCCTATCTAAAGACATTAATATAAAAACAAAATTTGTTTTTCTTTTTCAATATTAGAATCTGAAAATAAGGATCATAGAAAATCTGATACTTTCGTAATGAACAACTTTTTTTTGTACAAAGTTTCTTCTCAAAAATCACCTTCGAATATGACCTGAAACAAACATAACATTTTCTTGAAAAACTCATTAAAATAATCATAACTCAAGAAAATCCATAGACACGGCTGTTTTTTAAGACTTTCTTTAGTTTCAGTACAACCTACCTAATTAGTTAAAACTCATCTTAAAAAATAATTCATCACTTGACGAAGTTCTCTCGTACAGTGGCATAAACTACTTGCTCTATTGAAATTTCATTGCGTAATTAATAACTAATGTTGATTATAAATAATGATTTTATACAGAAAAATAAATAAAAGTCTTATATTTAGTTAATATTGAACAAGTTTGTCAAATATTGGTTCTATCCGATCAATTATTAATCGAACGACTTAAACAAATATGTGAATTTCATATAGCAAATCTAGGTAAAATTTTAATTAAACAAAACAAAAAAAAAATCAAAAGATATGACTTCAATATCAATGAAATATTTCTATTCATTTTCATCTAGTAACATTTCGTGATGCTGTTGAACTTCTTCAATTTTCTGTCACATATAATGCTGAACAATTGAAAGCATTTGTACAACAATTTATTTGTCGAAATATGGCTACATTTCTTGAAGCACGTTTACTTGATAATCTTGATAATGAATTATTAATTGATTTAACAAAATCCTATCGAAATTTAGTCAGAATAAAATTTATTATTTAAAAACAAAAAATTTGATGTTCATTTTTAGCTTGATTGTATGAATTATCGAATGATAACACCATATAATGATTGTCCATCATTAGATGATCTTTTTATTGATCTTGATTTATTAGAAAATTTATCAATTGATATTGATGAAACAACAACTACAGCATTTGCAATGAAAAAACAACAATCTCAACAAAAAAGAAAACAACAGAATAAGTAAATTTAAATAAACAAAAACAAATAAAAAATTAATCAAAATTGAGATCATTCTTCTCTTTAGATTACGTACATCAGAATCTGAAAATATTAATAAATCATCACCACCTATATCCATTGAAAATACTCCAATTGCAACAACACCATATCATTCAAAAATACAACAAGAAGAAAAATGGACTTCAGTATCATCTAAAAAAACATCGAAAAGTAGTAAAGTAAGTTAATACTCTAATCTTTTTTTTTTTACACGAAATTTAACTTATCTAATAGACTGTACCAACACCAAATGTATCAAATAATGCTCAAGTAGTAAGTCCAACTCGACCAATGATTCCAGGTGCTGTTTATTCTCAACAAGAAGGTAAATTGAAAAATTAAAACTTAAAAAGAACAAAACAAAACGATTGAATTTTTTTCTAGCGGATAAATTAGCTGCAGCAAAAAAAGCAGCAAATCAAGAAATGAATACTAATAAGTCAATAATAAAACCTACATCACCACAACAAATGTATGTAAACAATATTAAATTTTATGTAATTTTAAACCGATATTTTGTTTTTTGTTTCTTTCTTAAAGTATAAAACCATCAGTAATTACAAAGGATGAATCATCAATGAAAACTCCTTGGAAAGCAACAAATATTTCTTCATCAATACCATTAAAAACGATGATTCCAATAGAAAAAGAAATGAATACATCGAAACCAACAATACCACGACCAACGTATGTTTCAAAAATCATCATCAAAAAATAAAGAAAGGAGTTTTTTCAATTTCAAAGACACTATAATTGAAAAATTTGAACTTAATTCGATTTTGATATTGAATAAGAAAAATCTGTTTTCCCATATAGTTAGATTTTCTATCAGGATATCATTGATTAATACCTCATGTGATCAAAATCAACGATCATATCGCGATTAAATCACTTAAAAAAAAACGATTTTTCATGTGACGTTTACGATGATCAAACCTAGTCGTAATGTTCAGCTTTAGGGTTATGACTATCTCTCCGTATACCGTAAATAATAAAACAATAGGTTTTTTTTTTTATACAATAATACTTTTCATTGTATTATTGCTATTAATTTAAGTAGAAGAAAAAGAAATAAATACTTACTGTTAAAATTTGCTACAAAATCATCGATTAACCTTTTTGGCGATAGGAAACATATATATATATACACGTTTTGAGCTTTTGTATATAGTCCAACTCGTACCGTCATCTATCTTCATCAGACTATAACAGTATTCTCTCTTTTCCTTAATTTGCTAATATCTCACAATATCATCGTGTGCTACAATTATGTATATATATCAAGGGAGAAACAAGGAGTTTCGGGTCTGAAATTACTCGAAAATCTATGGAATCACCATGCCCAATATCTTTCAGAACAATATGAAACTAGACAGAATTCCATAATGGTCTAATGCTACAGATCCTCAGATGCTAGATTTTATGAGATCTATATTATGATAACGAATTTCAAAGTTCTCGATGGAATCACTTGCAAAATTCTATAAGATTCAGTGCCATTCTACTTGACTGTACGATTCAAAAATCTCATGAAGTTCGATGATTCTTCACGAAATACACCGTTTCTCTTCGTCTACACGCTCTATTACAGACCTTTATGGAAAAATGTCACAACTTTTGCATCTCTTCAAAAAACCTTGTAATCTAAGAATTAATCGTGATTTATTAGAATATCCAAAAAATTGCTGATCAATCGTCAAAACTGATGCGATTTTGACGACATGAGTAATTCGATATTGAAAAAACAAAGCATCATCTAAATCAATTAAATTCTCTATTTTAATCATATTTAGACCAACCATACAGTCAACTCGTTCAATACCTATTGTACAATCATCACCACCTCAATATGATGTTGTTAATCCATGGTCAATATTAGCAACATCACCATCATCATTAGCTCATTCAAATATGTCTATTGTTCCATCACCGCCAGCACAACCAATGTCATTTAAATATATTCAAGATCAAGAAACACGAGCACATGAAGCTCTTAGGCAAATAAGCAATAAATCACTTGAAAAAATTCAGGTTTTACCTTAAATTTTTCTTTTTAAATAAAATTTAATTGTAATTTTATTTTATATTTATATAGACAGAAGAATTAGCTATACAAGCATTACATCGTTTATATAATTCAGATCAAGAATTCGATATGTTAATTACTATCGAACGTGTTGTACCAGAAATAGCAAATCCAATTTGGCCTCGAACATCTACAGCAACAACAACAACAACATCATCATCATCATTATCATCACCGAATCTTATTTTAATTACACAAAAAAAAGGACAAAAATGATGAGAATAAAAAATTCTATATGTTATTTCATTATCTAAGAGTTTTGTATGGAAGGAGAAAAAAAATAATACATATATATTCTATTAGTTTGTTATTGGTTGTTTGTTGATTTCATATTAAATAAAATCTTATATAGATTTACTTTTTCTTATAGATTAAATAAAAGGGAATTTATTCATGAATAAAATCATTTATATCATCAGAAAGATCAAAATGACAGATTCATTTATGTAAGAATAAAAACAAAAGAAGAAAGTGCTTTTTTCATGCATATTTAATGAGATCTAAAGAAAAATATTTTTAAGACATTCAATATGATAACAGAACATCTTTATAGTATTTACTTCATATATCAAAAGTTTTTCCTATTAATAAATATATTATATTAGAAGAGATTATATGATAAAATAGTTTATTAAAATTCATTAAAAAAAGAATTAGTAAATGTTCTCCATGAGATTTTCATTAGAAAGTAATTATCAAGTAATGTCTCATTTAGGCATTTGTAGAACTAAACAATGCAATCAAAATGAAGAAAGAATAGAGTTCAAGTTTAAATAGCAAAAAAAACTGAATAGTTTGCAAATAAACGTGTTGAAGTTTTTTTGTAAGAGAAGAAAGCCAAATCTATACTAACTATTTGTGAGATATGATCAGAGGGTGACGTCTGCCAATCATGAAAAATTTTCGTTTTTTTCCAGCGGAATTCCAGCATTTTATTGTGCGTTTTTTGTTCATCGGTTTCCAGAAAACGACCGCTGACTTCTGTCCTAAAACTTCAGGTCAACTGTAGCAAAAATCTAATCTACTGAGCTATCGATCGATTCTTTCTTGGCGACTTCGGGACACGATTCATGCCTAATACTCATCTAAAGACAATTTGATATTAACATTATTGATGAAAAACAAAATATCACTTTTTTAATATTTACATTAAACATTTTAGATGTTAAAAATAAACTTTTTTCCGCTTTTATTTGTAAAACGTACAATATATCATGCTATAAAATCAATTAATGAGTCGCCTACTTTATATTCAATACCATCGGCTAGAATATCATCCGGTCAAATGCAAGCTTGGATTATTTATTATTATGGTGATAATCAACAATTTACTCTCTCAGATAGTGTACAAGTGCCAATAATACTTTCACCAAAAGATGTTCTTATTAAAGTTTTATCAAGTAGTATTAATCCCATAGATATTCGAAGACGAGGTAAAATTATAAAAACAAAAAAAGAAAATTTTTTTTTAATCCTATATTTATTTATTTTGTACATAAATAGAGGGTTATGGTGGTAGATTAATTGACACATATCAATCAATGAAAAATATTTTACAATTAGGAGGTAATCAATTAAATAAATTACAATTTCCTCTTATATTAGGTCGTGATTTTTGTGGAGAAATTATACGAAAAGGACCAAAAGTAACAAAATTCAATATTGGAGATAAAGTAGGAGCATTAAAAAAATAAAAATGAAACAAGAATTTTATTTAAGTATTTTATGTTTATTGATTTTAAAGGTTTATGGAGCTTTAAATGTTACACGACAGGGCAGTTTTGCTCAATATTGTTCTGCTGGAGAAGATGAAGTAAACATTGAAATTAGGTCAACAAGAATGAAAATCCAATTAATATATTTTAGATTTGTTTAAAACCAAATAATATATCAGATGAAGAAGCATCTGCATTACCACTTGTTTCATTAACAAGTTGGTGTGCTATTCGAAAATTTAGTGGTTTTAATGAAGAAAATTCTTTCGGAAAACGGTATATAATAATGATTCTTTTTTAGTTTATGGAACTCACATTATGTTTTACGACGAAGAATACAGTGAGTGTATGTTTTAAGTTGAGATTTTACAGTTCTCCTCTCGTAGCAACGGGAGAAAGGCCAACGGGTATCGAATATGTTTCTATGGCAACCAAGAACAACAGATTTCTTAGCAATGGAAAAAGGCACTGAACAGCATCAACAACAAGACTTAGACTGTTCTAGAAAATTTTCAAGCCTTCCTCGCAATTTGAATGGCTGGAATAGGTGTGTGAATGTTCTAAATAGTGCAATTTTTTTGATTTTTGTGCAGATAAATACTTGTATTCAAGATGTTAAAAATGTTGAATAGTGATTAGATATGAGCAAGATGGTCCCGAGACCAGGACTAAGACTTTTTCATTGGGAGGGATATCTTTTATGATCGTATAAGATTTGCGTCAAAATGTCATATTCTCACGATTCATATGTTCTAAAAGTTTATGCAAAAATTATTGAGTAATGATTACTCCAATATTTGCTATTATATGTATTACTAAGTGCGAAAACAGAACCAAAACTCTTTTTCTGGCCGGAACTGAGACCAAAAACTATTCGTCCCGCTGCTGATCACTAGCAGTAATGAGTTGATTTGCTACAGTCGTCATATGATTAACATTGAAATCATTAACTGATCAAGTTATAACTTTAACAAATAATTAACATCAGTGTGTTTCTGAGTTTATCAAGATATATAACAGAATACGTGCTTGAAAACAACAAGGGAATAGAAACAAGATAAACAAAAAATAGAGCATTTCTGTTCAAAATGCAGAAATAATTAAAGCTGACCATTTTATCAATTATCCTTGAAAAACAACTATAGTGTACCAGAGATTTTCAATGTACTTTGTATTAGTATGATGAGGCTAAAGAACGTATGTGAGTTCTATATTTTAGTCTGAAAGGACTACGACTGACATGCTTGTTTTTTTAAATAATTTAATTTATACTTTAGTGCATTACTCATTGGTGCTAGTGGTGGTGTTGGTCATATAGCAACTCAAGTAAATTATATATTGAATAAGTTCAGTTTAACTTATGAAATTTTTTTCTTTTTTTTTTGTTAAAATAGTTATTAAAAAATCTTGGAATGGAAATAACTGCCTTATGTAGGTCAGATTCTTTTGATTATATTCGACAAATAGGTGCTGAAGATGCAGTTAATTATCGTCAAAAAGATTGGTTTGTTGAATTAAGCCGAAAACCAAAGTAATTTATTTTTCTTGTCTTTTTAATACAAAATAATTTTATATTGATTTTTGTTTTGGTTTTTGTTAGATATGATTTCATTTTTGATACCGTCGGTCCCCGATATTATACTTTTGAATTTATGAGTTCGTTATTAAATCGAGGTGGGACATTTGTTACAATAGTTACACCAATTTTTCGTAATGTTGACAAATATGGTCTCATTTCTGGTCTTTCACGTACAGCATATCAAGCTACGAAACAAACTTTAACTGTAAGAAATAAAATTAAAAGAAAAATTTATAAAAAAAAAAAAAAAAACCGAACAAAAATTTAATAATAATAAATAGGGATGGTCAAATGGTATTAATTATCGATGGGCATATTATTCAGCTGATGGAAATGTTCTGAATGAAATAAAAAAACTTGTCGAACAAAATAAAGTAAATATTAATATATATATATATAAGAAAAACAACTTTTCTAAACTATTATCTTTTAGTTAAAAATTAAAATTGATTCAAACAAATTTTCATTTGAAAATATTCCTGACGCTATATCTTATGTTGAAAATGGCCATGCAAAAGGCAAAGTTGTAATTCAGTATAGCAGTTTTCGATAAAATAAAATAAAAGATAACATAAATATTGAATAAAATATTGTTTGTTTTTTTTTGTTTTATTATTATTATTATTATATTATTCATCATCATCGTCAATTATTTGATTTTCTTTTTTTGCAATAGTAACAAAAAAAAGAATGAAGCAAGAAAAGATCAGGAAATCAGTGTTGACATAGAGAAAGAAAAAAAAACTTTTAAGTGACATAAATGATTTTATTTTATTTTCTTTATTTGTCACTTTATTGTGGTAATGCTTTTAATAAGTAAGTAACTTCTTCTGCAACGGCAACGAATACAAATTCAAAATGGTCCTAAAAAAGAAGAAAATACAAATAGAATTTTATTTTTTCCTCATAAAAACAATATGTTGTTTTTTCTCTTTTACTTTTGTTTTAACCATTTTAGCTCGTTGATCACGAATATGTTCAAGTGTAGCAGCAATATTTATTTCTCGTGCTCCTTTGCAAATACGATTTAAGACAATGTCTAAGAGAATATAAGTACCAGTACGTCCGACACCATCACTTTAGAAAAAAGAAAATAAGAATTTTAATATTGAAACGTTGTTTTTTTTTGTATTTTAATAATAAATACATACTTGCAGTGAACAATAATTGGTGATGATCGACCACGAAAACATTTGTTCACTTTTCTATGAATAAAGGAGAAGAATAGAATTTAAATTTGAAAGAAATGTTTTCAATTCGTTTTTTTTGTCTTTTATTTATTTTATCTGATTATTGATAATTTATGATATTAATAGATCATTCTCATCAGGTCGCTTTTGTGACTATGCAATTATTGATTTCAAATTGCATAATTTTCAAAAGCTGCCAGAAAAGAAATACAGGTTTTCTATTGTTGTATATTAATGTTCATTATATTAGTACAAGAAAGATATGTCAATAATAAGTGTCTATTTTTATTTTATAATCAATTATAAATATATGCTTTCTTTTTCTCACTTTTCTATCGTGTTGCAAAGAACTATGAAAGCAACTTAGTCACACATATACATGCTCATCTATAGTCATGTCTTCATTTTATCTTAAACAACAAGCTACTTTTTCTTCTCATTAATTTTAATTAAATGAATAAGGATAGCATTATAATCTTTTTTTTTTTTTATTTTGTTCACCAATGATAAATATTTTTATAGACATACCGTCGAAAATCAAGTAAAACTTTAGCTGATGGTGGATTATTTAATTCACCCCATGTTAAAAAGTGAAATTGTGTTACAGTACGTGTTTCCATTGTTTGAACATTTTTTAAATAAAAACTTCGAACTAAATAATCATCGGACCATATATGTTCTGAAACAAGATTGACCTGTTGAAAAAATAAACAATAAAGTTTTTTTTTTTCTATTTAAAAAATTTTTCTTCTGTTTTTTTTTTTTGTCTTATACTTCAAAATCGTTAAATCGTGCTGAACCTTCGATTGGCCAATAATGATGACACATAGTAATACCATTTTCAACTAAGAAAAAACAAAATAATAAATAATTATAAAATGTTTAAATAACAAAAATAAACTTATTATATTACTCGGTCGAGTCAATGCTACAATGACACACGATCCTTGTTCCCAAACCATTTGCCAAAATGCATTTGTTGTATTTGGCATTGGACCTTGTGTAGCAATATATTTGCATTTTGGATCAGAATCAGTCTAATAATAAGAAAATAGATTCATTTATTTGTTTTTATAAATAAAATACTTACGATTGGACTTGCATTGATATAATCATCATCGCCATTGTTGGCAAGTCGAATACGGGCATGATCATCTTTATAAGAAAAAAAAAAGAAGATAGTTTAAATATAAATGTGTTTGTTTTCTTTGATGAAGCAAAAATGATGATGATGATGATGATAATAATGACATGTCAATTTGAATCCTAAGACGATGTGAGCACTTCATGCACAATGTAGCACTTCTTGTGCATGCATGGAAAAAAGGAAATGAGTAGGAGTTATACAGCTCAAATTTCGATTCTCACTTCTAATTAACAGTAATGAGAAAAGAAAGACGAGCGGAACTAACATTTACCTTTCTTTTCTTCTATTTCTTATTCTATTCTCTTAGTTAACTCATTTTATATTCATCTATCCACATATAGAGAAAGAGATAGATAGATAGATAGATAGATATAAATATGAAAGAAATCTTTTCAGATAGTTATGCTTAACATGTGTGACCCACTGAAGGCGGCATTGATGAAAAACACATATAATAAAAAAAAAACAGGATAAAAAGCAATGACAATTGAAAATAAGTGCAAATAAATGTCAATTGATGTATATGTCTACATGCATTTATCATCATTCTAATTAGTAGGTCACAAGTTAACTAGTTGAACTTACATGGTATACAATCAATATATCGATTTTTATTGGCATTTGATTCTGAAACTGCAACAGCACATGATACTCGTTCTTCACTTGCTTCATCTGTACATAATGCTTGCCATTCAGCTTCTAAACGATGTCGATTACGTAGATGATCTTCCATATAGGACTAAAAAATGAAATTTATAAAAATCAAAAAACAAAAAAAAAACGAAATTAAATTTTTATACTAAAATCAGATGTCCAGTCATGATGTCCATATTAACTGGAGCTACAGGTTCTTCACTCCTAAAATGAATTAAAAGAACGAAAGAAAAATCAAAGAATATATTTAATATAATAAAGAAAATTTTCTAACCATGATGATGTTGAACTTCGAGTTGATGAACCTTCACTATTATGTTTAACATGACTAGTACCTGATACTGTTGTTGCTCCTGTACTTGATGGTGGTACTTGCTGAGCCTTATGTATATCAGGTGATTTACTACCTGTTGGTTGTGCTTGCATTCGTTGTCGACATAAATCCTTTAGAAAAAAAAAATAATAATAATAATTAAAAATTTTCTTTTCTAAATAAATAAATTCATTTACTTGATAATAATTTGTTGATAAACCTCTTATATGTGTTATTTCAGCAAGTTTATTTCGAATACGATCATTACGTTTAATAAAATATAGGAAAGCAAATGCACCCATAATAAGAAGTACCATAACACAAATAGCCGCTGCAACAAATGCCCATTGTGAACCATTTTGTCGTTCAACTGATAATTGACTACCCTGTAAATAATGAATCAAGACAACTAAGTTACTTCTTCTTTTTTTTTATGACAATTATAATAATTTTTTCTTCTTCTATCTTCCATTTTCTTTTCTTTCCGTCTTTTATAACTAGATTTTCTAAGACACTTTTCATTAATAATTCCTTACGAAAAAAAAAGAGAGGAAGACATCTTTCTTCTTTTTTTTTGTTGTAATATTAAATGTGATCATATTCAACACTTTTTATTTTGTTTGCTTACTCTTACATTTTTGAATTTTTTTCTCTATATATGAATAATATGATTAACTGTTTTCAACGGCTTCTTTTATCTTAGCATATAAATGCGTCATCTAATTATACTAACGGTAAAGAGAAGAAGAAGAAGAAGAAGAAAAAAGCGAGACAGATGAAATAAAACAATTTTTCTCCGATTTTTTTTTCTTCATCAATTGAGCTTTTGTATTAGTAAGTTGCTTGCTAAAATTAAGGTTGACGCAAAGTAGTAGAGAAGAATTATCAATTATGCATGCATTCGCGTGTGAATCTAATGGATGCTCGATCTTTGTTAACGTACCCGCTCATGCACAGATCTACGGAAAAGTCACACCGACAAACACACACGCACATCAAAATTAAGAAAAATTCAATAGATATTCTCTATGTTTCATCGATCTATTTCTTGTAGAACGTATATACATTAAGAGACATTGAACAAAAAAATGAAAGCTAAATATGCAGAAGAGTAGTAGTGTTTATATTTTTGAAACTAATGACAATGAAAATAAATTAAGTTTTTTAATAATAAATCTAATATTATATAATTTTCAATTGTGGCTGAAATGTACATTATAGATTTGAATTGTCAATATTCATAAAAGAAACAAATGAATAAATAGATAAAAATATGTCATCGATAAAACTATAAAAGGTTATATGTTGATAAATGGATTTAAATGACATGACTTAAAAAACAAAATACACAGAGATAAAAAATGCTCGGTACGTTCTAGTAGATTATCGAGTTCTAAATGTCGTTAAGTATGCTTTCTATTTATAAGAAACAGGAATTTATAGATAACGATAACAAATACATTACAGTAAGTTTTATATTGTAAAAACTATGAACATTATCGATTTTACAAAAACTTTAATCTTTTATTCTAAAGTTTCTGCTTTAGTGGATAATTCTTATTTGAGAAATGTTTTGTTTTGTTTGATTGTCAAAACATTTTTAGCAAAAAAAATTTCGATATTATGTATATAAATTTTACAAATTTATTTTACTACTTAATTAGAATTTGAGCAAGAAATTGTCTTTGAAAAAAAGAAACAACACATGTATAACCAAGTATTCTAAATTCTAATATTCGTCATACTATAGTAAAATAGAACAGAAATCAAAGATCAATTTTCATTAACTTACCGGAAAAGATAGATGCAAACAGGAAATGCGGTGTTAGTATAATATTTAACATAGTCAGATGATAAGCAATCTATTCTTAGCATAATAAAAAGGAACGAAGCAAGAAAAAAAAACAGAATGAGATACGATTCTATCTCTTATTTTTACTTGAAAGAAGAAAGAAGAAGAAGAAAAAGAAGAATGAAAAACAGTCCTTCCTCCTTTTTTTCTAGTTTTTGTTTGTATCGTTATCATTTTGAACAATAGTGAAAGAAAAAAAAAATCTGATGTATTACTGCTCAATGTAACATAGTATTAAGAAATAACATTCATCATTTATAGATTATCCTGCAATGTCTATATGTGTATCTTAGGCTCATATTATCATTGTATTCGTTTTGATAGTAAATATGATGAATCTCGATTTGTTGCGCCTGTATAAGAGAGAAAGAGAGTCAAGTATCGACTTTGAGCCTCA